ATAGATAGATAGATAGATAGATAGATAGATAGATAGATAGATAGATAGATAGATAGATAGATAGATAGATAGATAAAAACTTACATTTGTTGCAGTGGTTAACTCAGGATGACTGTAAACTGGCGTGGCTTTCAACAGCTAACGTGAACCATAGTCAAAAAAGTTTTACCCAATCAGAGCAGATGGTAAACATTTAATCCACTTTCTTTCATTGATTCTGACTCAACTTCTATGTTCAGTTTTTCATTGAATATACAGTACATGATATTAAACCTGTTAATTGGTAACATTCTGTGGTAGCAGTAGGTAATTGCCATGGCACGTAGTTCTTGGATTTGAGAAAATTGGTACTGGAAAGTTTTTGAAACATCCTTGAATTTGATGTTGACCAAGTTGTGGGAACCCTGGTCTGAGTCGATCTTTGCTTCGTGTCTTCACAACCTCTATGGCTGAAAACAATCTACTTCAGCAGAGGAAACTTTTCACAAGTTTCATATGAAAGATTTGTAGAGCAAAGTGGGGCCTGCAGGCTCAAACTGTCCGCCGCTATTTCCATTTAGTCATTCCATCCATTGACCCGATGACTTTATAAGGGGCTGTAGTGCAGATATTCTCATGCTTTATCTTTTAATTATATTAAGTTTAAACATTAAATATAAATAACTACAAAAGACATTTAGATTACATTTAAGCATGTGTAGATTACAGACAATAAATACTCCTGTTTTATCATTAATGTCTCATGAGCCTTTGCTGCCTGAGCGTTTGTCAGACTTTCTCCAAGTGCTCAAGTTAAAAAAATAAATAAAAATGTGGGCCACCACACTGGCTGCTAGCTTAAATAAAAATTTAAAGATTTTACTCAAAGTATTTACTTCATGTATCATATTTTTACATGTGGCCCGCAGCACTGTTTTTCATTTCGTCCCTCTCAGGGGAAGAAGTTTGTGCCCCATTGATTTAGAGGAATACTTTGTCAGTAAATAAAAACATTACACATTACTGCTGAGAGCTTCCATATTTCATATTGCAGCTAAATGCACAAATGTTGTCGCTCAGTGACCCGTTGTGAAGGACAACAATTTATAACATTTTCGAATTTGATGCAACAATACAAAAACAACAAAAAAGGTCAAAATAAACACAAAGCGCCGTCGTGTTCACAGTTTTGCAGTGAAGCGGCAGGAGTTCATGAGTCCCATCGGGACTTTCATCAGCTCGTGGTCCTGCTCAGCGCCGCTGTGCTTTCTGCTTTCCTCTCGGCGTCGCTGTCGTTCCTGAGGTCCTCCTCGTCCGGCAGGTTGGTCCACTCCAGGCGGCTCGAACAGAAGCCGCACATTTGGTTAACGACGATCTTCAGCCCGCTCACGCGTTGCCTGACCATACAGCGACGGTTACACTTCTGGCAAGACCTGAAGAGCTGCAGGATGCAGCGTTCGTCCACCACGAACTCTGACGAGCTGAGGGAGACAGAGCAGGCGGGCCGTCCGTAAAACAGGAAGTGACGTTCAGAGGCCGAGCAGTTTATCACTGAGAGCGTACCTTCTCAAATCCACCTGGTAATGTCCACTTAGTGAGGAGCTGAAGTCTTCATCCTCCTCATCTTTAACTGCAAATGAAGCCGTTTTAAACAATTACTTTCACAATTAGCTTTTTAATATATATATAAAGGTTTAAAGTGAACTCGCCTCTGTTTTCGTTATTTTCTGACAGTTCGGCCGTCGTCGCCTCGTCTGAACTCGTCAAACTTTCACTTGGAGCAGTTTTGTTCTCCAGTTCCTTAAACGAGACGACAAACACCAGCTCATCAGAAAGTTTCATTCAAAAAGTAAATAATGGCAGAGATATTTGTCACAAAGTTATGAGCTCAGTTTGAGTTTAATGATAAATAGCTAAAGAGAAGAGAGTTAAATGAAAGCAGCTGTTAGTTTTCTGGTACAAACAGTCTGTTTTCATATAATCTGATTTATTATCTTTCCAACGAGGTGATTTATCAGATATTATTCGCAAAGTCTTAGGTTTTATTGTTTATTGTAGTTTGGCCTGTAAAAAAACAAGTTAAACTGGTTTTTACCTTAAAGAGTATCTTACCTCCCCTGTGAAAAAAAAATAAAGTGGGTAGGGGAGGGGGGTTAGAGAGCAGAGGTGTGGCCAGGACGAGAGAACGTGACAGCTAGCATTAGCATAATTGATGCAACATGGAAAGTGACCACAGTATCGCAGATAGTTACATCTCTGAATGGTCTGAGGTGGAGGATTTTCACCCCACACCAGCACCGGACAGAGGAGGAGGGAGGAGCGCTCCGACAGCCTGACAGAAAAAAAATAAAAGCATACAGCTGCTCACATGATCACTAGTTTAAATCAGGAATAAAAGTAGTTTACCTGTATAAAGAGCCCTAAAATTCCATAAATTTTCGGGAGGAAAGGAGAGAGGAAAGAGTAACTTATTTCTAGCGGCAGAACAGGTTGGAAGATGGCTGTTTGATGTTATTTATTGTTTTTAAATAATCCTATAGGCTCTGACATGTTAGATAAATTTGAAAATGAGGTTTTTAAAATATCCGTAAGACTTGAAAAAATCCGTGAGATTGCTCTTTATGTCTGTATACCTGCAAAATGACGTAAAATCTTTATAACTTACAATCTGTACAAGTTGACGTGTGTGGGTTCGGGCTGAAGCTGCCCGCTGCCTTTCTTTCCCCTCCTCCCCTCCCGCTGTGCAGGACTACTGCTGGTGTGTGTGTGTGTGTGTGTGTGTGTGTGTGTGTGTGTGTGTGTGTGTGTGTGTGTGTGTGT